CCTCGAACTTGTTACAAGATCAAAGTCAACCATTCTCATATACTCATATTCCTCGAATCGAAAAATAATTCGTTCGAGTTATTGCACACTACGCGTGCGCGAGAATTTCATACTTACACGCATGATGCATCTACTCATAACGCACGTCGGTTACGAGCCGCATCCCGCTTTCTCGATTCATCATCGTCGATTCAATAATACGGTATAGTATAAGTTGCTGTTCCACCAAATGGGCGGACAAACGAATCCCTCTTTTTATTGTCGCGACTATGACGTCAATTCTCTCTAATCTCGGCGCTCATTTTCGAAAATTATGGTAGTGACGGCAGGCCAACGCACCGTCGTCGGCGGACGATCATCGGTTTCCTGATTACGACCCTCCTGCCTTTTACCAACGATTTCGCCTCGTCGCTTACGGCTTTTCGTTTTGGAAAAAAATATATAATCGTCAATGGCGTTGTTTCTCGTTTCGAGATTCTATCGATTAACGGGTTAAGAATAAAATTTTTCTGTCTTTTCGAGGCTTTTTTCGTACTTTCTACTTTGTGATACTTTTGAATAATCTAGGGATACGCTGGGGTTCGAAAGTTACTAAATAGGTGGAGAGTATATTTTTATCGGTCTATTGGAAAAGAAAGATTGAAGAGAAATTGATGTTTATAATATTTATAATATTTTAAAGTTTCTTTTTGATCAGTTTTCGATATTATTTTCGAGCATAGTTATAGAAGAATCGTTGTAGCAAAGGTAAGCTGAAACACGTGATCATCGATGTTTTTATTATCGATTTACCTGGTATTTGTATTAACTACGATGTTACGTAATATTAACCAAGGTTAAGGTATACGCGATTGTTCTTCCTACGAAAGTGACCTTATAATCGTGACATTTACGTTTTTTAATATCAACTCGAAAATAATATTAGCGATCAATTTTAGAGGTAAAGGCAAAATATTTAACGAATTTTTCAATATTTAAAGAAAAAAAAAAATGTATCGAAATATGAAGCGGATTTTTGAAATAGGTATATGAAAGAAGGTAGAGGATATAAATTTATCACAAATATTCGAATGTTAATTACATATTTATTGCTAGAGAAGTGTATATAATCGAAATACGTATTATAGAAATATACAGGAAAGTGCTAAAAGTATGAAAAGTGCAGTGTATCAAGAATAGCGTGATAATTAATAAATATTTTTTTTTCGCTTTTCTTTTTCTTTTTCTTTTTTTTTTTTTTTTAGGCAACAAGACGCGGAAAAAATTAGAACAGAATGAAAGAAACATCGCATCGTGTAGATATCTATAAAATTTCATTCAACTTTTCCATTTCCAGCTTAATCGTTTTATGAAATTAATAATTTCCTGTATACTCGCTTTCATTTCCAATTATAGCAGGATGTACATTATTTATACGTTACGTAAGACCTAGTAAACCATTCTCTGATATCGATTAAGAGAAATAAGTTGGAACTGGACGATGTCGTAAGATAAATTACATAAAATAAATACATATAACATATATATTCTACATATACAACTTGAAAACTTACTAAAACAATTTGTTTCTCTAAGAAAGAGAAATTGTCTTTTTTTTTTTTTTTTCTCTCTCTCGTCAACTTTCTACTTTGTACAAATAATTTTGCACAAACTCGGAGACCCATAACAGAATCAACTAGGATATACAACGTAAAATCGTTCAACGATTAATATTAACAATAAAAATTACAATATACAAGATGATATAAAGAATCCATTGGAAAGATTAGTTTCAATTTCATCAAAACCGTGAAATTTTTTTCTCCAACGAAAGTGCTCCAACGAACGACGAGCAAGAATCGAGATTGAAGCTCGATCTTCACCGTTTATTGGTGAATAAAAAATAAAAGAAAAATCGCGTGTATGCGTAATTAACGATAGAATTGTGTTAACGATAGAATCGAAATGTGATAGAGAGAAAGAGAGAAACTCGAACGATTCGAAACAGAATACTTTTAACAATGTAGCAAATTATCAAACGTTCATCCTTATATACCGTAACTCAACGACAACGAGTCGCGATTATTTAAAGAGATGCGAGCACGAACGATTCCTCGAAGGATTTGTTTTAATCATCCTCGTCACCCCACACGAAACTTTCCTCTCCGCCCGACGTTACTTCTTCGGTTTTCGACGATTCCTCCACGCTATTCCCACCGGTCACCGGCTTTCCTTCCGCCCCTTCCGGCTCCTCCACGAAAGGATTCTCCGCCATGTCGCACTCACATTCCTCGTGCGCATCCTCCTCTTCGATCTTTGGATCACAGCGCGTGCAACGAACAAGATATATATATATATAAAATTTCTCATTGCAAGAAAATTTTTTGTTTCGACAATGGCAAACGAATCGACATTCCTTTCCAAATATTTACCTGGGTCTCGTCGTCGGTGATTGGATCGTAGGGCTTCTCCTCCCTATCTTGATCGGTAATATCGCACGTTATCTCGTCGTCGCGACAATGATCGATGCTTTTCACTTCCCGATCTTGGTCGAGGAAGGTGACGTTCGCCAACCTTTCCTCCTTCTCCTCTTCCTCCCGTGTTTTCTCCAATTGTTCCTCGATCAACATCCGCTCCTGTTCCGCCAGCAAAGCCGCCGTTTTAGCCTCCTCTAACTTTCTAGAAAAGATTATATAAAGATTAAGTTAATTATCGTGCACGATCTATCGTTTGATTCTGAGAAAGAAAGAAAACTCGGTTTTTCCATTTTTTTTCGAACAAAATTACCTCTCTTACCTCTCTTCCTCGAGTATATTTCGAGTTTCCAAGAGGTCAGCTTCGATCTTCTCCTCCTCGGCCTTTCTCTTTTCCTCGATTTTTTCTTGCTCGATAATCTCATCGAGATGGGCTACTCGCTCCTGTGCTATTTGCAGCTGCTCCCACGCCTTCGTCTCCTCCATCTCTAGCCTCGCCCGTTCTTCCTCGGCAGCTATTTTACGCTCCTCCTCGGTCCTGCAAACGGGTCAAGCAAAATTTCCAAATTATCATTAACCGATTATTATCTAATAAATCAGGCATCTCGGAGGCAGAGATCGATATTTTTGGCAAGCATGTCAAATTCGAAGCCAGGATTTTACCAGGTCACGAGTTCAATGTTACAACAGTTGATCGATTTCGCGTATGAACGCGTGTCGAAATCGTTTTCAAACCGATCTCGATTTGTTACGCAATATTTTTTTTATCATCGATAGGTGCCAATTTTAGGCCACTATTAGGGCTACCCACCTCGCCTGCTCGGCAGCGTTAATAAGGTACTGCTCTATTCTCTTCACCGCCTCCTCCTTATCTTGCCTCACTGAAACGTGAGAAAATTTTCCTCGTTAAATGTCTGTTTGAAGGGAAGCGAGAATTATTCATTTATCCCCTTTTGTTATTACCAATGTACCAATACATATACAGGATACAGATTTCTAAAACCGAACAAGGAATCATACACGTTACGAAACGAACATCATGCAACATAAGAGACACGTCGTATTTCATACTCGCCGCTACTTGTTCGATATACTTATCCACAAATTCTTTAAATCGACTCTTCCTTCCTTCGAAACAGCGATGGGCGAAATTTATAATATAAATTATAATAATTAAAGTTATAATAAATAAATTCACTTCGATGATGATCCATCGGTTATCTCAGTCCAGCAATAATGATAAAAAGCTTCGTAAAAAACGATAAAAGGAAAGAATTCAAACATACGTTAGTCTGAGAATGAATTAGCATATAAGATTTCGAATTTTCAGAATATATCGGTGAATATAAAATTTATTTTTTTTTGGTTTTTCGTTATATTACGATGATTGTAATTCGATCGTGAAAATTCATTTTAACAAATAATCACTCGAAGTGACTTTATATTCGAGACTTAATTTTTCATATAGCCCAACCCTGCTTCGAAACAACATACCATCCTCACTCGTTGCCTGCTTCTCATCAGTTTCCTCCTCCGATTCACTTACAGCTTCGTTAACATCTCGCTTCGATTCTTCCACCGGTTCTCGATTCGTTTCTCCTTCTTCCATTACCGTATCGTCCTTCGTGGATTCTTTTAAGTTTCCTTGATTCGATTCCACCGCTTTTCCAGTCTCTGAAAGCGATTCGGCTTCAGGCGTGGGTTCAGGCGTAGGTTCTTTTGGGGGTTCAGGCGTAGGTTCAGGCGTAGGTTCTTTCAGGGGTGTGGGTTCGGGTGTGGGTTCTTTTGGAGGTTCGGGCGTGGGTTCTTTTGGAGGTTCGGGTGTGGGTTCTTTTGGAGGTTCAGGTTCCGGTTTTTTCGCAGGATGTTCGGCTTTGCTTGGGGATTCAGCTTCTGTCGCAGCTTCGTTCGCCGCTTCTGGCTCCCTGGCCGGTTCAGGCACGGATTGAACCTCTTTCACAGGCGCGGATTGCGTCACGGTCTCCACGATTTCCTTCTCCTCCTCGAGAATTTTCTCGCGACTGGAGAATCCACGTTTCTTCTCCGCTCTCGATTCCGTTTCTCTACGCGTTTTATCCGTTACTGGACACACGAAACGATCAACATTTTCTTTTTTTTTTCAGGAAGGTTCGCGATTTTTTCAAGAGACCTTTTTACCTTTTCTCAGGGTCGACTCGTCCAAATCGGGTTGCAACGCTCGCGCTAAAATTTGTCAGAATGATGAATGAAAAGAAAAAAAAAAAAAAAATTGAAGGGAAGTAAGAGAAGAAGAAAGGAATGAGTCGAATTAATCGACGATTGTTAGAGAAATTTCTACTGACCCTTCCGCAACTCTCTTTCCGTCATCGGTTGATCTGGGGCTATACATGATGATATGAAACATAAATGTTCGATTAACGATTAATAACATATTTTCCATATAATTTCGTATGTATCTGAAAATGAAACAAAAAAAAAAAAGAGAGAGAGAAAGAGATGAATGTAAACGAATGGAACAAAGCTATAAGTTCAAAAAAAAAAAAAAGAAA